ACTTGTTCAATGGTCCTTGTTTTGTCTAACAGTGCTGGAGAWTGAACCCAGGGCCYTGTGTATATCAGGMAACACTCTACCATTGAGCTATACTCCCAGCCCTTTTGATCACTATTCAAGTCATTGTTACAAAAATATTGTTCACTGTCAAGATAAGGGGTATGCATAATTAAATTTGGTTGTATCTTTTTAATTTTTTCTTTGAGGGTTTTTAAAAACACAATTATCAATGATTTAAAATCCCAAATTGGAATGTGGGCCAGGGAAGTTAATACAAAATCTGTAGTGTTCTGATTTTCCTCTAAATTTTTAACACGGCCTGCATAGATAGGTTAACCATACGTTTACTTAATTAAATAACCTATATTTAAAACTTTTCTTTCATATAGCTACKTAGAAGGTAATTTTAGTAGAGAGAATGATATATTAACCACATTAATCTTAGCCAGCTGAGGAGTTTGTCTGTCCAGCATTGATATTGTTCAAGCCCATTACACCAACTCAACATAAATAAAAATATACTATGTAAAATGCTCTAACTTTAAAGCTACATATTACAAATATGTAAAACATGTATGTATTACACGATTATATGATTTTATATATATTATATGACTTTATAATTTCTTAGATATATGGAACCTTCAGAATTTAAATTTGCTAAGTTGCCAATTATTCTCATGGCTAAAGGAGTCAGTGGCAAGATTTCTAATGGTTCCTCTGTAAGAGAATTAGATTGAAACTTCTGCTTCCTTGAGCATTCTTATAAAAGAGTTTGCTTCCTGAACCAAGCATAAAATGTCAAGTGAACTTCTCATCATGATCTTAGTGTAGTTCTTTTATATTATTAATTCTATATATTATTTATATATATATATACATGTATATAAATATATACATGTATATATATATTTATATATATTATATATATAGTTCTATATATTATTATATATATAGTTCTATATATTATTCTATATATATATTATATATATATTATATATAGTTCTATATATATTATTATATGTATATATATAGTTCTATATATTATTTATATATATATACATGTATATAAATATATGTTATTATTTGCAATATTTTAAAGTTATTTACACGTCACTGTATACATTGATCCTTGAAGTATCGAGTACAAATTGAGTCTTGTTTGAGATAAACACAGGGTTGACAGACCCTTAAAACTATCAGCTACAACTGATTGTTTCTGCTTTTCCTACCATTAGAGGACTATGGTAGACTCCTCAGGAATGGAGGGAAGGGGTACTTTTCTGGTTGTATGCTCTCCAAACTCTTAGGAGGTGGCGGTAGAAGGAATTCCCACTGCCGTCAGTTAACCTATATTTGCTTTCTGACTGTGGCCCTGCAGGCTTTTATTTTGTTCTATTTTGGTCAGTCAGGAACTTGAATTTGAATGTCTTTATATATGAAAATACTTTCTACTTTAACACAGGCCCTACCATTTCTTAGGTTCTCTGTCAGGTTCTTGAAAACATTTCTGTTTACCCTGGTTTCAGACAAATTTACTTACAACCTGGTTCCCCCAAAAGCCCAGGTTCTGATTCTGAATACACTACAATCCCTCTGACTCCCGCTTTTACTGTGCAGACCTTTGTCTCTTTCTTAGTAGATTCAGAGGATGGTTCCGAGGGTTTGCTTCTGCAATACCACAAGCTAAGTCCCACTTTTAGAGAAGGTCTTTCTAGTAGTTCCTGCCCCTCCATGTTTATCCCTGTTTGGCCACTTTTTGATTTTCYCTCTAACCTGAGTCCATCCTGGTTTAATTTTCTTGATTTTTGATGTTCACATTCCAAAGAAGGAGTCAAAATTATATATAAGGGACCAGTAATTTCAATGAGAAAAGATGAAGAAGTATGTTATGCCAGGATACCAAGGTTTGATTTCATCAGTTTCATGTAAAATTGTCATCAGTGAACAAATGATTTTKTCTCTGTGACATGCCAACTAGACTGATTCAGGTAAATGGTAGCATGGGAATTCAGAAAAATTACATTTTTAATAATATAAGAATGCTTTAATTAAATGTAACTCCTACGCTATACTTTGGTTTAAAACCACTGCAATATGACTTTTTATTCCTTTTCTAAAATAACAAAGAATCTCAATAAGTATATAATTTTAAGTGCATTATCCATAACTGCAGAATCTTCTGATACACATATCTAGACGGAGGCCCAAGTGGTTGGAGAACCATAGCAGAAAAAGAAAGTGACTAACATTGATGACTTGAGTGATGTGTGGAACTGCTCTGTGTGCTGGACAGCACCACAGGACAAGCAGTGCACTGACTCATTATTCCTGGGCTTGGGAATAGAAATTTTTATTTTATGTGAGTATTATCCAATTTTTATAAGTATTCCTTGAGTAATTATATAATTTCTTTTATCTTTGACAAAAACAAAAATTAGGGGTAAATTAGGAAGTAAATAAATTTGAAATGTTGCTCTATGTAAGACAATGTATATAATTTGAAAATTTTTAAATCACAGTATTCTCAGACTACTAATTCATCACCACTTCATTCCTCGCCCTGTGCATACTGTATGAGCACCTCAACTATTTTATTGTCCATACTTCTTGCTTACTGATAAAGTAGAATTAATTCACCTGGTGGTATTAATTCATCCTCTCTTTCAATCATCAATTTGTGCAAAGCCTCATATCCATCAACAAAATGGTTTTTGTTTCCACAGATATTCAATCAGTGTAGTGTAGACCGGCTTCAAAGCTCAAACACACACAAGGGCAAATTTCCTTTTAACAGATGTATATTCAAACATTAAAAAGCAAAACAAATTGCTCCTGGCAAGTTCAGACTCCCTCTAGGCAAGGACAGCAGAAAAATGKCAGGGAGCAGCAGTAAGTCATTCATGACTAAACCTCAGGAACTAACTGAATTGTACTGAGTTGAACCAAGCAACAAATTAGAAATATGGAGGGAATACTGGCCCCACCATTTTTATTCCTTGTAACTCCAGGCACCATAGAGAGAGAAATGACTAAATCTCTATTTTAATAGCTGCTGTCAGGAGTTTTGCTCTGTAGGGCCTATTTCAGCAGTTCCTAGTGGTAATATATGGCATTTCCCTGATTAACAGCCATTTTATAACCTGTGTAATTGGCCACAAATCAGGGGAATGTCATAATGTAGCAAGAAAACATTCCCATCTCCGTCATAGCCTTGGCTTGGTTTTCTGGAGGAATTATTACTTGAGTAGTTTGTGGGTTTTCATTACTTTAAATAATGTACTACCTGAAGTACAAAAAACGACACTTAGACTAATGAACATTTCTGTCTCCAAACCCTTTCTGTCCTTAGATTTCTTTTTCAAACACTAAAAATGGAATTCTTTCTTCATTTTTATAACATCACAATGTTTGTGGGGAAATCAAGGAAGGGGCAGGACAGGGAGAAGGGTCAGGTGTGTAAGGCAACAAACTCTGTTATGAAATTTAAAACAACACCCCAAACTCAGTAGGTAAGACAGAAATATTTTAATATAATATATAAAATATCAGAATTAATGCAGAAAGATCCATAATGAACCAAATATTAAAATCTTAAATAAAGACAGGTTCTGTCTCTGGACTTGTATGACTTATCTCACTCACCTGCCCTCGTCCTGGGCAAGGGTACAAGATAAGAAGAAGTGAACACAAAGTAATGGTCTGACGCCTTTTGTTTAACTAGAAAACAGACTTTGGTTCTTTGTAATTGCTCTTTGTAATAACAGCTATCATCTGCACAAAATTATGTAAATATGGAGCTTTATTTTACCTGTGATACACAGTCCAAAGCATTTTACTATGAAAGTGTCATCTCTAAGAGAGATAGATCTTGTAATTGTATATCAGCTACTATAGGAGACCAAGTTTTATTGGTTGAAAGCATGGCAAATAGAAATTAAACTTCTTCTCTTTCTAGGATAAGTAAAGACCAACATCAGTCCTTTAGTGAAAAATATGGAATTATTTCTCAATTTGAATTCTTCAGTGCGATATATACAAGAAATCCAAAGTTTAAAAAACCTTATGCCTTTTCTGAAGAAGGATGAATAAGGTTCATAATGGCAGTAGTTTGACAAGTCTATGGGGAAGAGTRTGGTCAGAGAGGGGCATGTAAATGGATAGGATGCTAGGTTTTCTGGAGAAGATATCTGGGCTATATTGTAAAGATCTGAGAGAAAGTGGTTAGATAAAGAGGGATGGGATTGAGGCATTCCAAGGTGAAGGAATAACACTGTGTATGCATGAAGTCTCAAAATGTTAGCATGTTTTGGAGAGGCTTTGAATCTTTAGGAAGGCTTGGAAGTTGGATGAAAGCCAGAAAAATTGTAAGGGATGAGACTGGAGAGATAAATAAAAGGCCATTCAGATGAGAAATAGGTGATATTTGAATGAAATAGTGAGTATAACAACTTATATAGACAATAGCCATGTGAAGTAACATTCTTAACACAAAATATAAAATATATGGGTAGAATTTTTTTCATATTTGATTTCTGTATTAAGAATAAAATACATGAAAATATATTGAAAAGATCTGAAAAATGTTCAGATCCCACTAATAACACTGGAAGTTTCACAGACATTTACATCACATCTGCCTATCCTATCCCTTTGTGACTTTMTTTTCTGAAGCCATAACAAAGTGGGGTTGGCACCCTTAAAAATTCATCATGCTAAAAGTTACTGTACTTGAGATATAGTTGAAGCAATTCTAAAGAAATTAGAATTGAAGCAATTGTATAGAAGTTAGGTTTTAAAATTATGAAGCATTATTCAGTGAAAAATAAGATGTGAAGACTATAAAATGTAAAACTGGTGAGAGAGTTTACTTGCTTAATATCCAGGTTGTAAAATGCTCAGTAAATCTGAAAACTTTCATTCTTCAATATGGTCATAGAATATCCTATCAATGATAATGCAATTAACCTGAATATAACAAAAACATTGGCCACACTAACCTTTTACATCATTTGCTAATTTCTTGGCTTCATTAAGAATCCTGAAGCTTTTTTGAAGAGAGCCTTTGGCATCTTCCTTCAATGAACCTTGAGGACCTGATGCCTGTGGACAGAAAAAGAGGTTTAAAATATCTAATAATGTAGCATAATGAAGTCAAGATGTCCCAAAGACAGTTAGTATACAGAGTTTACTTACTGGAATAAAGACTTGTAATTGTGACTTTTTAACACATGTGGGTGACTAGAGACTACTTGTTGGGAGATTAGAAGGTCTAGAGAGAAATCCTTAGAACAAAAATGTTCAAGTGGCAGGTATAGAAGTGGGGATGGCATTCCAGAGGCAATAAGGAGAAACTGAGAGAATGTGATATTATTTTCCCCAACATATCATGGCTGACAGAGTTACAAGAACATAAATGATCARTAGTATTAAGTGCTGCAGAAGCCAAGCAATTTAAGAACTAAAAACATTCATTCTAGATGTGGGGTGAGTGGGGAGCATTACTTTTATTCCCTGGGTGTTGAATTTAAAAGGAATACYGGTTCCTTTTTAAACAAATTTCAAAGCACCATGGCATCATACAGCCTTCTAAATGACAATCTCAGAATCACAATCATCCAGCAAAGATGTATTTGTCGAGGGTTAGATTGATCGAGGTGACACAAAGATAATAGAACAGGAAAAGGATCATTTCACTTGACTGTCTAGTTATCCATTTAATAGTGTTTGCTCCTCTGGAGTCATTACATAATACATTTATACCAACAGATAAATCAAATAAGGTCCTATGTGTACATTTTAAACTGGAAAAGTATTTCAGGGTACAATAAGGGCTGAAGAATACTAAATGCTTACTCTCAAAGTTATAATTCTGAACTTAGGTCACCCCAGTCATAATGTTCTTCAAAGGCATCTGTAGTGCCTTAGTAACATTTTTTATCAGTCATGTTACTTGAGAATTAAAATAGGAAAAAAATTACAGAGCTTGGTTTTGCTGTGGTCAGATTTATTTTAGTGTATCATCGTTCCAACAGAATTCATTTAAATATTGCTCATAAGACAGACTTTATATCCACAAAAGGGCATATGAGAAACATCTGCATAAATAAAAAGAGACATTRTACAAAGTACTAGAAAAATACAACCTTGGGAAATTGAGAGTATCTCCCATTGCGTTCATGGGAATTCTTAGTTTCACATTTTATCTTGGGAATTAGGTGTAGTAACGTCAAAAAGTGTCATTATCTTGGGGAAAAAAATAAGTGTAAAAGTTAATGGCACAAATTCAATGTACTTTACTCAAAAAAGGAAGCCTCAGATTACCCACTCATGTTCTATATTTGCTCCAATTTACACATCATTTTTACTCTGTGGGTTATAAGTTTTCTGAATCAAAACAGATCAAAGATAGGAAATTACAAAGGAGTGAAGATTCTCTAAATAGGCACAGTAAAAACAGCAGAAGTGACAGCTGACAATCTGTTTGACGATGAAGAAAAAGAAAAAACTCAAAAGTAGAGAGGAAAATTTTCAATGCTTAGGCATCCAAATCGACTTGGAAAGGGGTCAAGTGTATATGGTAAGGTAGTTCTCAGTGGATGACAATATTATTGTAATAAAARAACTAATGTTGACAATGTTCCTGAATAATCAAGAATATGGGTCATTCATAATGTTAGAGGAAACTTTAAAAAAAAGAGAAAAGAAAAAAAAACCCAGCTTTTCTAACATTCTTGGAGTGTGAATGCCTTTTTATAAGAACATCATCTGGCAAGCATTTAAAAACCATAATTTTAAAGCTAATCTTGGATGTGCAAAATGAGGCATGGCATTAACTGAGGGAAACAGAGTTGATTTGCTGTGAAAAAGAAAATTAAAGGCAACAGATGAGAGAGAGAGAGAGAGAGAGAGAGAGAGAGAGAGAGAGAGAGAGAGAGACCCCAATCACCACTGAGTGAACTGTGAGAAGTTGTTGATGGACTATAATCAGTCGTATCAGTCGTAACCAATATGCATTTTTCTATTTTTCAAAACTTTTCAGCAGTTGATTAAGTTAAAACTGGATAGATAAATCACACATACTTAGAATTTACAATTTTATTTTTGAAATGTCTACACCCATGAAACCATTACTGTAATCAAAGTAGAGAACACAATATCATTTCTTTTAATCCTTTCCTTCTTATCYCTTCTCCTCTTCCCCACCATGTTCCTAGACAAATACTAGTCTTAATTTAATCACTGTAAGTTTGTGTCTTATAGAATTTATATACTGCATTTTTTGGGGGGGTCTGGCTTTTTTCACTCAATATAATTTTAGCATTTGTCCATGTTGTGTGTGTGTCAGTATTTGATCCCTTTTGTATGTGTAAGTGGTATTTCATCGTAAGGATGTGTCCCAATCCATTTATGCATTTACTATTGAATGGAAATTTGAGTTGCTTTAGCTTTCACCATTCTAAATAGAACTACTAATCATTTTTGTGCAAATCTTTGTATAAACAGAGATTTTCATTACTCTGAGARTGATTACCAAGTAGTAGAATGACTTGATCATATGGTTGATGTATATTTAAGTTTTTAAGAAACAGCTACCTGATTTCCAAATTGTTTGTAGTATTTAAAATTTCTGTCCAGTAGTACACAGAAGTTTCTTTTGTCCTCAGCTGGGCCAAGACTCAATACACTCAATCTTTTTTTTTTTTTTTTTTTTTAATTTATATGTGGTGCTGAGAATCGAACCCAGGGCCTCATAGGTGCTAGGCAAGCACTTTACCACTGAGCCACACCCCCAATACTCAATCTTTTAAAATTTAAAAATAGACTAAAATTTGACTTTCATTTTGGTTCTAATTTGCATTTTTCTGTTGACTAATAATGTTGAGTATTTGTTTTTGTGCTTATTTGCTATCTTCTTAGGAGAAATATCTGTTAAGAATTTTTCTGTTCAATTTTTGTTTTTTTTTCCTTATTACAAGTCTTTTTTCAGACACATAATTCAAAAATATCATCTCCTAATTTGGAATTTGTCTTTTCATTTTCTTAAAAGTAGTTTTTTATATTTATTTATTTATTTATTTATTTATTTATTTATTTATCTAGCCATTTATTATTGGGTACTGTGGATTGAACTCAGGGTTCAGGGGCACTTGACCACTGAGCCATATCCCCAGCCCTATTTTGTACTTTATTTAGAGACAAGGTCTCACTGAATTGCCTCACTTATGTTGAGATTGGCTTTGAACTTGCAATTCTCCTGCCTCAGCCTCCCAAGCTGCTGAGATTACAGGCATGTGCCACTGCAMCTGGCTTCAAAATAGTTTTTGAAGGGAAAGTACTCAATTTTAAWGAAGATTAATTTAGCAAATTTTTCCAGTTAAGGGTTAGTCTTTTATGTTATATCTAATAATTTTTGCCCAAGATCATAAATATGTTACTTATATTTTCTTTCAGATGTTTTATATTTTTATGCTGTATATTTAGATCTATGATCTCTTTCTGAGTTAGTTTTGAAAAATGGTATAAGATATGGATTGTAGTACATGTTTTTACACATGTATATCTAATTCTTATAGTTGCATTCATTAGAAAACATTGAATTGCTTTTGTATCTTTGTCAGGAATCATTTGACGTATGTTAGGATCTATTTCTAGGTTATTTTGTTCTAATGATCAATTATTACTCAATGTTGATAACAACACCACACTGTTTAATTACCATAGCTTTATAGAAATTATTAAACCCTGATAATATAACTCTTCCATGTTTTTCCTTTTTATTTCATATTGATTACAAATTTCTTTAAATAGGTTTCTAGGATCTCATTCAGCTTTCATTGAATGTATATATCAATTTATATAAAATTAGCACTATAAGAATATTGGATCTTCTGATCCATGAACATGATATATCTCTTTATTTATATAGATGTTTTTAATTTATTTCAGTAATATTCTGTGTATAGGTTTTTTTGAATTTTTTTTTATCAAATTTATACCTATTTCATATTCTTTATGCTATTGTAAATTGTATTAATTTATTTTCAACTTCAAGTTTCTCTTTGACAGCCTATGCAAATGATCAGTTTTCACATATTTATGCCATAGCCTATAATACTGGTAAACTTGCTTATCAGTTCTAGTAACGTTTTATAGATCCCATGGATTATTATGCTTTGACTGCCATAGCTCTTGTGAATAAAGGCAGTTGTACTTTCAATATGGAAGCCTTTTATTTCCTTTTTCTTGCTGATTGCATTAGCTAGCATTTCCAATACAACATTAAATGAAAGTGAAGAGAACAGATATCCTTTCCTTTTCCTGATCTTAAGAACAAAGCATTCAGTCTTTCACCATTAAGTATGATGYTCATGTAGGGTTTTTTAAAAATAATATACTTCATAGATAACAGGGAGAAAAATTTACTTCTAAAATTAAAACTTTAATATACAGAGATGTTGGATTTTTGTCACTTTTCCTGCCTCTATTAAGGTGATTCTATGATTTCCTTCTTTAGCTTTTTAATGTGGTAAATTATATAGATTGATTTACAAATCCTCATTGTACATTCCTGRGATTAATCTCAGAAATATTGTATAATCCTTTAAATTTGTTATAGCCTTATCAGAAATGTTTGAATATGAAGGATATTAGTTTATAATTTTCTTGTAATATCCTTACCTGGCATTGATAACATAGAATGGGRTAAGAGGACATATTTTATCCTCTTCAATTTTCTAGAAAAATTTAGTATTTCTTTGATGAAAGTTTCATGAAATTCTCAAGTAGAGTAATCTGGGACTGAGATTGTGCATATGTGTGAGTATGAAGGTTTTTAACTACAAATTTAATTCCATTATATATATTTTATGTATGTTATGTATATTCTGATTATTTGTTCATTTGTGGATGAGTTTTGGTAGTTTAAGATTTTTAAAGAGTTTGCTCATTTCATTCAAATTGTTGAATTATTAGCATAAATTATTTACAATACTTTTCTAATATTTTTATTATCTGAAGATGTTTTAGTAATTTCACCTCTTTTATTTGTGAGATCCCTCTTTGGAAACCTTTCTGAGTTTTCTAATGCTAGTCTGTACGGA